ATTGTGCTATTAATAACAGTGGGGTGGAGAGGGGGAAAGGCAACAAGGACCAAACGAAAAATAAGCATTTTGTGTCACTTGCCATTACTGATTGGTGAAGTACAAGGGGGTTTTATACTGTAGTTTAAAAAAATAAGTGTGGAAAGTGCCATTGACATGGAAAGTAGAATCACAGAAGGTTACTTACTTGCCATTATAGGCAAACCATGAGTGTATAGTTCAACTCCTGACCCTGGAGAAGACTGGGGTGTAAGGAGACAAACTGTTGGAATGGGACACAAGCAGGGATCACACTTGCCAAAGGTATGGATTGTAATTAGAAATTGGCCATGAACTTGCCTATTCATGCTGTGGGAGTAGAATTATATTAATAATTATTTCACATCACAGGGAAACGATCCATGTTTTTTTTTTTTTTTTAATTTTTATAGACTGAATGTATACCTTTCACATATGTTTACCAAGTACCTGACACTTCTGGCCCCCATTTTTGTTTTCCCTTCACTCTTCCACTTCTCCCACTACACTAGAGCGTGGCCCCTCTGAGGGCTGAGTTGGATGAAGAGCTGTCTCATTGGTCTGACTGACCAGCTTCTCTGTACAGAATGAAAAAAAAAATGTTTTCCCAAAACCTCTGTTTCACTGATTAATTACAAATTGATGAAAAACAGAACATGCAGGCGGGAGGGGGATATTGTTTCGTCACAAAATGCAGGAGAGGACCAGCTGTTGCAGAAACTAGTCTTGACTTGTGCTAGCAAAACAGAAGGGACATTGGTGTCTATTTTGGGAGCATGCTTCCACCAACATTGACACATTCATGGTGAGCATGGTATAAATGCTTATAGTAAAACAAGGCTTCCAAAGTTTTCACACTATTTGGCCTAGATCCTGTTTTCTTCTTATGCACTTTCTTTACTAAAGTTCCAAATGTAGTGAATACAAATTTGCATATTAAAATACTTTCTAAAATAGTAAAGTTGTCCCTATAGTGCAATTAGAGGATTTTTCCAAGCCTAAATTTTGGCTATAATTCAAATCATGGTTATTAAAGCCCAATACGTAGCAGAATCCTCACTATATGAGAGGCAGTAAAACTTAGTACTTCTGTAGAGGATGAGACAGCATGATTAGTATGGCTGATATTGGAAAAATGCAGCATAAAAGCATATTACTTCATATTAATTTATAAAAATATATAATTGTAAGGGTAACAAATAAAATAAAAAGGTGATTTAAACACACAACATTAACACTATGGTATCAATACACGGTATTATCCAAAAGCAATCAAAAGGTTTTGATAACAATTGCTGCAGATTTGACTGTGTATTTTAATTTCAATGCATAGAAGTAAAATGCAAATACAATACAGTAGAAGTGCTTAAATTAAAAATGTGACATAGTTGGTATAACAAAGAATTATGCAGATGGACTGCTGCTGAACTGCAAGCATAAATAAAAAGTATACGAAGGTATAGCCATTAAATTTATCTAAATAGCATTAAATGTCCATTAAGGGCAAGTTAGAATCTCAAATAAAATCCAGAGTACTTGAATGGTTAAGTATCGAGTAATTCTGAGTATGTGCTTTATAGAGGTTGGTTTTCCCATTCCACCAGCACCTGATGGCGATCTATTCGATACAGATCTGGTGACTGTGGAGACTATTTGACCGCACTGTTTGCAGAACTAGCTAAGGATTATGTGTGCTTTGGCATTTTATGTCCTAAAAGGCAGGGGGAAATGGAGTAACCTCTACTTATACTAAGATCTGTTTGAGATTATGGATGTGCAGGTCTCCATAACATATGGACTTTGAAACTGCAGGTTTCCATGTGATAAGAGATATGCAAGGTCTCTAACTGATTTAGGTCTTGTTTTAGAAACATATAACCAAAAAGTAAATGAAACACCGAGCATGCCCCCCACCCGTCAAGATCAGTTGAAAACTATGTATAAGCCAGTAACATTTTTGTAAATCCTGTAGACCAGGGTTTTTGTCTTTGTTGACTGGATATGTAATGACGCTGCAATTTCCTCTGAAAGGAGGCTAGTTCTCCTCCTATAGAGCCGTTTTGTATTAGAGAATACAAAAAGAAAAGTCCTGCGCTTGTGCGCCTCTTAGTGACGTCATATTCCAACTCCAGCATCACTACTGTGCGCGCGAGGGAGCTGAGCAGGGAGATCACGGACCACTGCTCTCTTGCCGCCCACGGCCATTTTATTTGTAAAAATTTTGGCGGAACACCAATTGGGGAAACGCTGAATAGGGTAATGAATTAATAGGAGTAATTGGGAGCACAGACCTTCATCTCACCTGAATAAGAATACCCTTTGATCATTTGATTCTGTCAGAAAGCTTTGAGGAAGGGCTCCATAATTAAGGAGAATAATATGGGGGAAAGAGGGCAACTCTGCCTAGTTACATTTCTTATGCTAAATGAATGAGAATTTTGGCCGTTAATCCTTATTATTACTGCCATTTATATAGCGCCAACAGATTCCGTAACGACAGCTAGCAGTTAGTCCATTGTATAGTAGTCGTACCCAATGTCGGAATCTCATCTCAAGGAAGTGCCATCTTTATGAGTGGGTGTAAGTCTGGAGCTGTGAATTGGTTTGAGCCAAGGTAGAATCATCGCCTCAGTATCCCTGCACAGTTTTACTACACCTTTCTTGGATCATTCCACTACTCTCTGCAGGTGAGTAGCCTGATAGTAAAGTTTAAAGTCTTCGGCAGCGTAAGGACGTCATGACTTACGCAGGCTTTGGATTTGCACCAAAGGATCAATGTATGTAATGAGGTAAAAAAAGGCATTTGGAATAATAATTGGGATAGTCTGAAACCGGTATAAAACCCTAGGTAAGAGGTTGTTTGACAGTCCCCACCCTGCCGAACAAGAGAGATGTGGCCCTGACGAATCCTCCAGGTCTCCCCTCAGTCATGTCAGCAGTAGCTGAAAGTAGGCCTGATAAAGGGGGACTCAGTCCTGTGTGATCCAGAGCTGGCTCTGGCCACTGAAAAGAAAACTGCTTTTGAAGGCTATTGGCCTGTGACCTTGGAAGGGAAAAATTAAGGATTGTGGATTTTGTGTAATTGATTTTGAAATTGGATAGGGCACCATATGTGTCAAATTCTGTCATGATGTTGGGTAGTAAATGGTCGGGATCTGCTACAAAAAAAATAAAAGATCTGCGTATGCAGCTACAATGTGTTCCTTGTTTCCTACCTAGAGTCCTTTAATGTCTTGGTTCTGTATAATTGTATTAGGAAAGGTTCAAGGGCAAGGACAAAGAGCAATAGCGACAGGCGATATCCTTATCTGGTGCCATTGTGGATTGAGAAGAAGGGTTCAATTAATAGAGACACTGGACGAGGGATGGGAGTAAAGAGTTCTTTTGTGTAGTAGGAATAAATATGGTCAGTAATATTAAGATAGGCATTGGAAATTAAATAATGCTCAGCTGATGTTAAGGACCTTTATGTGTGCTAAGAAAATACTTGCCGCACTACTA